ATAAGATCAACCTACATACGACAAAAAATACTTAATGGATATCTGGGAGGAAATTAACCAGCTACTCAGCAGTAGTTAAACTTAGTTGTTGTTGGGTCAACACTTACAATTCAATAATATGACATCGATTATTTGGAAATTGGCCGTCTAAATGTAGTAACATTTGGTTTTGGTGCTTTCTAGAAATAGCAAATTTCCACATCCTGTTATTACTCACTTATTCCCCATTCCGTTTCTTCAAGCTGTCTGATTGTTTAATGACTAAAAATGTGTTTTCTAACTAAATAACAAAATTTGCACAGGATTTAAGACTATAAAAATCACAAAATCCTACACCAGTTATGGAATCACTTAACATATTTTTATCTTTAAACACAACAGATTTAGCAGAATGGTTATATTTGACTGACTGATTTGATACTTTGGGTATAAATACCACAAACACCAGATTAAAAAGATATACTGTAAACTACAGAGAGACTTAACTGGTGCTAAGTCATGGTGGATGTTCATTTATATATAAAAGTTCTCTGGTCACACATACGCGAGTCAAACCTTTGCCTTCTCTTCACCTCCAAACTGTGACCCACAGTATTCAAATTTGCGGAAGTGTGATCATACCCTTAATTAAAATTTAACTTACTTTTTCATGTTTAATATGAATGGAAATAATAAGAGTTTTTATCCACATTATACATTTAAGTAATCAAAGCAAGACAAGGAAATTAACCTTTATTTGTCAACTTCATGAGAATTGAGAAATGTCTAAATAAATCTGGCATCGCTGCAAAATTGCACATTACAAAGTTAATGAAACACTCAATGGCAAAAGGTACCATGCTGACAGTCACACTTCAAATCACATCTCCATAAAAAAATACCAAAATGTTTTCTTTACTTTATCCTTCTTTTAATTATATATTGTATAAAATGTGTAATGATGACTGAAAAACACAGTTTACAAAATATATGACAACAATAAGCATTGGTAATGACATTTAGCAATAATTATTACACAAATCAAGATCAAATTCAGGTCAACTTACACAAATATAACGAGTGCTTAGGTTGACATTAAATGTTTTCCTTTTCTCAGGCATTCAGTCAGCAGACTGTGAGTCAATATCTATTTTCAGTGTACATGGAGCCATAGAGACACATGCTCTCATCAGTCATGAAAACACATATAAAGCGAGAGCTTCCGCACTTTCCAGCTCTGACCAGAAGAAGGCATACTGTAGTCATCACATTCAACATTAACATCCCTTCATAAGAAAAGTAATGCCATTAAAAATCAAAGTATTTTAAAATCCTTGTCATCAGCAGGTGTGGTTGGTTGTATCTTGCAAACTCCTGCCATTATACACACAGAAAATGAAACAGAAGACCGGCCTACTGGCTATGGGAGCAACTTGGCAAACATCCAAACTCAACATTTAGAAGACGGAAAAAAATGTCCAGGTGAGAGAAACTTGTAGCCGTTCCCAGAGGGAAGTCTGCTGCCTCCTTTAGAGTTTGTGGGAACAGTAGCAGATGGAGGTGGGGGTGGTTTAGCCTCCAGTTTTTGGTGACCATTCGGTCTGTTGTCACTGTTCTGATCCTCAGATCCTTCTACGTTTTTGCTTAAAGACTCGCGTTTAGGTGACAGATTCAGCAAACCCAGAACATCTTTCTGAACTGTACTCATTCTTTTATTTCCACCCAGTAAACTGGCAGGGCAGGGCACCTCGTGTTTCTGGCTGGCGTTGGCCCAGAAGGTTTTCAAGTTGTGAATTGCCTGGACTTTGTTGTCATGCTTTGACTGGTTCAGCTCAGGGGTGTTGGCAGGGCTGGAAGAGGCTGAAACAGAACCTGTGGAGGAATAGGAAAGAGCTGGCGATGGGGCGCTGTCAGCCGGAGAGCGGGAAGGTGAGATGTGGGCTGAGTAAGGTGAGGGAGGGTATTTCAGTTTGAGCTGAGCCAGCGCATGCACATCAGAGGAAGCCATGGGCAGAGGCGAACCCTGCCCTTTTGCAGAGAGAGATAAAGAGGAAGACGAATGAGCTGGACTGTTGTAGCCTGAGCTGATTTTCTGTAGCGAAGAGGAGCGGGATGGTGGTTTAGGCCGAGTCGCGGGGGGTGTTGAGACAGATGTGGAGATGGGGGGACGATGTCGAGGAAGAGAAAGAGGAGAGGAGCAGGCTTTGAGACTTGCCCTACTGGGTGGTCTGCTAAACGCACTGGTCTCTGAGGGCTGAAACCCACGCGCTCCCCCAGTGGAAGTTGGCGTTGTGGGAGTAGAGTGAGATGGCTGTCTGGCATGTGCCTCCTCTCTCCGCTCAGGCCCCGTCAGTGTCTTCCCTCTCATGTTTGCTTTCTGTAGGCTCTCCACTGCTTGCATGTGGCTCTGGGTCTCCTCCAGGATCTTCTGGGCCAGTTCCTGTGGATCCATTTGTCCCGCAGGCCCCGTCCTCTCCTCCTGGGACTTGACCGTGCTGTCTGTCTCAGTACTCGACTGGTCCGACTCAGAGCTGCTAACTTTCCCTTTCCTTGTCCTCTGAGGAGATGAACTGGAAAAAACAGAAGAAAAAGAGCTAAATGTATCTCCTTCTTATCCATTCTAATCCAAAATTGTCTAACTTCCCTGTACAGTAAAATATTTCTACTTCCCTCCAATATAAATTGTTTGAACTTTTAAAATGTGTCCAATCTGGTATCATTTTTCTTGATTCTAGTGGACAGACATGTCTTGTTTTTTCTTGTTTCGAAATGCAAATTGATGACAGAAGTTGATTTCTATTAGAAACTGCATGGTCAAAATGCAACTGCAGATTCTTTCACTTATTAAAAGAAAATATATATTTTTGGACTCAATGATAGACAAGGTGTACTTTTGTTTTGATGCTTTAGTTTTTGTCAGATATCCAGGACACTTCCTGGTGTCAGCGTTACGGACATCATGAAACTAGATGTAGCCGTTGACTGTGTCGTGCTGTGCATTGACTGAAATCTAACACGTTCTCTCATATGCTTTTACCATGTTCCCAATGTTAGCTTTAATGTGTTTTGTACTAACCACTGAGCTTGCACTTTGAGATATACTTTGGATGAGGCTGTTTCGCAAGTATTTGGTGATAATCAAAAAATTATCAAATATATATAAATGTTATAATTTGATCTGAAGAAGGCTCTGGAGGAAAAGTCATTAGTTGTTAAAATCCATCTTGAGGAGAACATGAATGTCTGTAATAAATTTCAAGACAAATTGTCCAATAGTTGTGGCGACATTTCATTCAAATCTATAAACGTCAACCTGTCAGTGGCGCTAGACGACAAATCAGAGAAACACTAAAGTCAGACAGATTCCTCCCCTGTGAAAAATGAATGTGCCAGATTTCATGGGACTCTATTTTATTCTGGATCATCATGGAGGACAAACCGTTCGACATTGACTTGATAACTGGCATAAGAACATATAATGATTGTTAACCCCTTTTTTAGAGAGAGAATTCTTCACACCAACTTTGCATTTACATACTTTGTTCAGTGCATGTTAGACAGGACGATGTTCATTCATTCATTTTGACCAGACAAACAGCATTGGACTCACATTTCCTGCCTGAGCTTGGGGTTGGATGAAACAGTTGGGGGTAGCGGTGGAGCTTTAATGGGAGATGTAGGTGTGCTGATGCTTCCCTTGGACGAAATTGTTATAGGATACTTATGACCTCCATTAGATCCTCTCCCAGCACCGCCTCTGCCATGTCTGTGTCCTGCAGGTAGTGGCAGTGT